AGAGTAGAAAATCACATATTTGTTACATAGATGATTTACGAAAATGTTAAGAAAGCATGAAGGTGTCTCGAAATATTAATAAGATGTACTGGTTGTTTCTAATACATTCCACAAGATGTTGCAAAATTAGATAAAAAAACACAACTTTATTTATACATGAGTAATATATGTATGTACATTTGTAAGTAAAAGGTTGACATCTCTTAAAAAGACATTCATTTAGAAATTTACGTATAATTTGAAAAAAAAATCACCGAAATCCAATAAAGAGTTTAAAAGGAATATAGTTTCCAAATTATGGTCCATTTGAGGTGGTGTGTTAATTTTGGAGAGTAATATAACTACAATTTCATATAAATTAAAAAACAGAATCCATAAAATAATATAAGAAAAATATAACTTTCACAGCTTTCCCTGTATATTTAAAGCGTAGATCATGCTACATTATAAGGATAGCAAATGCAAATATCTGGTTTAATTTATAGCTATCTTCACATACCCTAAATCTAGATGTTGTCCAATCCTAAATTGCGTTAAAATTTAATCATTTAGGTGTGAAAATCTATCAAAAAGGGATCTACCTGTTTTATGGAATGATCTCTTGTTTATAGTAAAGCAATTTTACACATTTCTCTACCTACTCACATTTTCATTTGATTTGGTGTTACCAGGTCGTCGGGTTTATCTAAAAGCATAATAATTTTTTGAGCTCGTGATCCCATAATTCTGCAAAAACACAATAAATTGTATGTAGTTATTCACATTATGTACAAATATTTATGTAAATATTCAATAATATAGAGGAACTAAACTTTATATTTCTTAACATTTTATATCTTACAGAGGCACAATCATTACCTAACTTCAAGTATGTGCTTTTGTTTTTTAACACAAAGACATCATTGAAAGTACACGTAGAAAATGTATGATTAATTTGTAATATACAGAACCAATTTAACATGCTCTAACCTCGGAAAACTTTTTTGGGTGGTGCTAGAACGGCGGGCTAACTTTCGACACCAAATTGTCTTTGTACCTGGGGTAATCGAAGGGTCAAATTTTATTATAGGAAATTTCGACACCGCGGCGTGAAGCAGGTAGGTAGGTAATTAGCGGCGATGGACATTTGCACCCAAGCAGGACAAGCGGGTTTTCCCAATATTTATTTTCACGGCGGGGCACTTGTGTACTCGTGACTAAATTATTTCAGTTGTAATTTATTTCTTGTTTGGCGTTGACTTGTGCACGTATACGGATATTTAAAAAATGAGTTTGATAAAAAGTTCCCGTGGTCGAGATTTATTAGTGGTGGAGCATCATTACTATCCTTCGCTTGATTTTTTCTGTTATAGCGTTCTCTTTGGTGATCAGGGAGCCTAAGTATGTGAATTTGTCTACCACTTCAAAGGTAGAGTTATCAACCGTGAATTGGGGACCGATGTTCCTGGCTCTATTGTTGGGTGTTGATGTTGATCTTAGTTTTCTCCTCATTTACTTGCAGGCCCATAGATTTTGAGGCATTTGAGAGGGTGGTATATATTTCTTCTAATCTTTGTTTCAAGTTAAGAAAATAACATTACGCTTATGGAGATCAGTGTTGCCAAAACTCTCAGACACTCTTTTTTGCACGGATGTCCAAGATTCATTTTTAATTAACACTTAACTGTAAAGTCAGAATAACTACTAAATAAAAGCCTTATTATCATTATGTAGTAAGAGAACGACATAAAATAGCTGACATACGCACATCGTATTATTTTAAGTTCCAATTAGTAATTAGATTTACGCATTCCAAGCGGTCAATATTTTCTACTGATTTCTATGATTCATGGCATATCGTATTCTCACCGAAAAACAAATAAACTTTCGTTACTATAATTAAAATAAGATAAAATAAAATTATCTTATATAAATACTATTTATCTAATTAAAATCATTTTCCCTACTTTTCATCTCTTGTTTTGAATGGGCACTTTTGGTCAATTACGTTAAAAAACATTAATTTAATTCATGTTTGTGGAAAAAAAATACAAATTATACAACCCTAAATTGTGCTGGTGTGTGTCGTGGCAACGCCGCGTTGCTATCGTCCATAAGAAATACATTGCCCTATCTCCGCAATGTTATTTTCTAAACGTGGAACGTAGAGCTTGCATGTTGTGCGGGAACTAGGTCCACATCATCTGCATATGCCAAAATTTGGGATGATTTATTAAAAATATTTCCTCTGTTGTCTATTCGGGCATCTCTGATCGCCTTTTCCAGTGCTATGTTGAAAAGGAGACACGCCGGCGCGTCTCCCTGTCGCAGCCCAACATGCGTTCCAAACGCCTGTGATTGTTCGCCATGTATTTCGAGTTTGCAAACCACATTACGCATTGTAGCCTTAACCAATCTTATCAGTTTTTTGGGGATGTGGAATTCATTCATTGCTTCATACAATTTATTCCTTAGGACACTATCATAGGCAGATTTAAAGTCTACAAAAAGATGGTATGTATCGATATTGAATTCATTGGTTTTTTACAGTATTTGCCTTAGCACAAAGATCTGATCTGTTGTTGATCGACCAGGCCTAAAGCCACTTTGATATTCCCCGAGAAGTTCCTCTGAATATATACTTAGGCGACCATATATGATCCTCGAAAATATTTTGTATGCTGTATTAAGGAGGGTTATTCCCCTATAGTTTCTACATTAAAATTGGTCACCCTTTTTGTGTAGCGGGAAAACGATTCCAATACACCACTCTTCCAGGATTTGTGCCTCATTCCAGGCTCTCAGTATTATTCTATATATTTGATTAGTCACAGAAGCACCTCCACATTTAATAAGTTCCGCGGGTATACCATCACTTCATGGAGATTTATTGTGTTTTGGGTGTTTTATTGCATCTCGTACTTCTTGAATTGACGGAGGCTCTAATGGTGAATTGTTGCTTGCTCCTCCGGGTGGTTGATTTGGATCTGGATCTTCTACTTCTATAGTAAGTAGTTCTTTAAAGTGTTCCACCCACCTTTTCAGTACTTCTTCTTTTGTATTTAGTATATGCCCCTCCTTATCCTTACATAGTCTGAGCCTTGGTTTGAATTCCTTTCTTGCGTTATTCAGAGTTTTGTAGAATTTTCTTGTTTGGTTTTCCTTTTTTAATACCTCAAGTTCTTCCAATATTCTATTTTCGTGAGTTCGCTTTTTCCTTCTATGAATGCACTTCTCTTCTTTTCTGAGATCTTTATATTTTTGCTGTTTTTCTCGGGTTCTTCTTTGCTGCATCAGTTTGCAACGCATAGTATTATGAATTTTCGAATAGCAGATATTAGTAGAAATAGGCGTTTTGCGGTATTTTTCAATGGGGTTAGGGACACTTGATAAACAAATAAAATTTTAAATATCGTTTAAATGTGTAATTTACAACATTTTTAATTTTATTTAATTGATATTAGACAGAGTTAGAACATATCGTCGGTGACCTGGCAAATTCTCCTATCTGCATTTTTTATGAAAATGAGTTATCGATGAATTCGGAATCGGCTTACACCAACGATTCGTCCGTACAAGTCCTATGAACGAGAAAAATGTCTAAATATATAAAAACGCTACTTGTAATTTCTTCTATATAAATTCACGCAGTAAACTATATGCAACATGTCCTATCTTGTCAGTTTGTATGGTGTAGTCATAGGGTATTGAATGCTAGTAGACGATGAGTTGTTTTTCAACGAAATACGATATTTTTGGTAAGTTTCACAAGATATTATGTACATAATAATGGTAATATTATGTGAGTATAAAATTTAAAGTAATACGATTCTAAACTAAAACGATAAACATAGACGAAAATCTAGTTTTTATAATTGCTTTCAAATAGGAGAATTTGCAAGTAGGCAACAAACATCGATTAACTGATAGGAGAATTTGTTTGTCTCAATAATTGTATAGTAATCATGTCGAAGAGAACTTTGCGTATACTTGCAATGGCTAACGAAAACTTGGTTGTAAATAGAAGCGACCAAATAGAAACTCTACTAGTAAGCCAACTGACAAACTCTGATGAAATCGACGCATGGGAAAACCTAAATATAGAAAATACGCCTTAATTATGTTATTAGACGAACCTCTATCTGAAGACAGTCATACTATTATTACTGATGAAAACAAACAGTGATAATGAAGTTACCATGAAGAAAAAAAGGAAGCTTGGTCAGAATAAAAATCACTGGAGAAGATACAGAAACAAAAAACTTCGAATGGAAGGTAAGATATACATGGGGTTTGGTAAAAAAATCGGGAAGATTAAGCAAGATATCCAAAGAAAAGCAAAACTTTTAAAAGAGGCGTGTACGTCAGTAAAATGTCGAAATTCCAATATTGCAAGGAATTTACATAACAGTGCAGAAATCATATATTTAAGAACTTCTAGGATATGACTGGGGATCAACGTAAGGTCTTTGTAGCATCTCATGTATTTAAAACTACAACATTTAAATCAAACAAGAAAAATTCAAGGAGACAAGGTACGTACACTTACTACATACATGACGGGAATGAAAACTTATAAGTATGTCGTTGCATGTTCACAAATACATTAGATATAGATTATCAAACCATTCATTATTGGGTGGATAATAGTTTTTGCGGTATGACTGACGACGGATCGCGTGTTTCTACCAAGAAAATGATAAAAACTAGGTATACAGAAAGTCATAAATACTTGGAACAATTTTTTGAGAGTTTACCTAAACTTCATACTATTGTCGTAGCGAAACACAAAAATTGTATTTAGAATATTCTTTTAACAGTATATCAGATTTGTAAGTGGTTTATGTAAACAATTTTTGCCAAGAATAGAATATAACTCCTTTAGGTCGCAGTGTATTCTCAAAACGAGTTAAGGAGAATAATTTCGCTTTATATATACAGAAAAACACCAATGCAATATTTGTTTTGCATTTAAACATAAGAATAGGAGTGAAGAAGACTATAGAGCCGATATAAAGAGAATGAAAGACGCCAGAGAAGCTAAAACTTTAGATAACGCCATAAGTGAAAAAGATGAAATAATAGCACTAACAATGGACCTCCAAGCCATAAAATTGTGCCTATATGTACCACCGAACAAAATGTACTTTAAAACTAAATTGTCCTGTCATAACTTCACAGTTTACAACCTAAAAACTCGCGATGTTGTATGCTATTGGTTTTCAAAAGACGGAAATAACCAGCTTAAAGCATCCACATTTGTTTCTTGTATCATACATTATTTAGAGGAGAACTGTGTTACCGATTCCAAAACGCCAGTAGTTATTTATTCTGATGGATGCAGTTATCAAAATCGTAATAATATCCTGTCAAACGCTTTACTAAACTTTGCTATCAAACATAATGTGTTAGTATTTCAAAAATATCTTGAACCGGATCACTCGCCAATGGAATGTGAGTAGGTACATAGTATAATAGAAACGAATCTTAAAAATAAGGAAATCCATTTACCCAGTGACTACATTACATTACAGCTCAAGCAAGAAAGGGAACTAAGCCATACAGAGTCAAAATATTAGACCATATGTTTTTAAAGACTATTCATCCTCCAACCACATGCGATATTCCTCAACCCGACCAGGAGGAAAACCGTATAACCCAACCATTACTGATATAAAATGTATCAAATACGATCCAGTTGGGACCGTAGAAATAAAAACTCACCATAAAGGATAATACTTACAAGTCCTTATCAGACCAAAGACTATGCCAACAATTGTGGACTATCCACCTTTATTTCTATCCCCTCCTAAAATAAAAACGAAGAAATGGCAACGTTTACAAGATCTAAAATTGACCCTACCGAAAGATTCGCATTTCTTTTATGATTGTCTTTAACACGGATAGATCCTTTTATTTTGTTCATTCAGACATATTATACCTACCTATGAAATAATTTTTGTTTGTTGTTTTATATGATAATTGTGTTTTACATTGCCATGAATAAAACTGTTTAATTTAATGAATGTTTAATTTTAAAGAATTATTTATTTTATTTGGATAAAAGGGAATTTATGCTTAATTTTAATAAACAACAACTCCTAAGTTCACATTAAATTAAAATCAATATCTCCTATAGCTCATATCTAGCTTAACAAAACTAAAAATGTCGCTTTCACACAGATCATAAAACACAATCAAACAATTGAAATATGTTAAAAGTTTATAATTATAAAGTTTTTTGTCTCTCCTGAAAAGTATAGCTGAAGTCATATAGGAGATATTGCCTGGACACCGACGATATTTTAATTAAAATAAAATAAATTGAAATTTACATAAAAATCAGACATTTAATAATGTTTAACGTCAAGGGGGGCAGAATATTTGTTTAGAAAAAAAATTTATAAATATGCTAAAAAATAACACTATCAACTATTTACACTATTAGATACAACATTTCCAACTTTTATTTTTTCGATGCACCCTAGTAAACATGTCTTAAAGGTTGGATTTAATTAAATTGCTTGCTGTAAGGGTCGTAAATTGCATTTTTTTTAAATTCGTGTTAAAATGCCAACATTTCGAATAAAAAAATATCATCCTATATGTTGATATTTTAAAAAGTAGCATCTGAGTTATTTTAAATGTTTATTATCTTAAAATAACAGTAATTTTGTAAACCTATTTAAAAATATCTGACATACATTTTTTACTCGTTATTTAATTTGATAAAATAAGCTTTTCTGTTCAATTTGGTGCTTTCAGAATTTATGTAGATCTAATAGCTTACACGTACGTTGTACATAAAAGCTTTTTTATTAAACCTTTAGTGAAATTTTTTGAAATGTTTATAGATAAACTCATGTGATATTGTACCTACATTACGTGAAATTAAAGTTTTGTGTACATTTTATAAAACGTTTTTAATTTTCTTTAAATCGACGCTTTGAAGCTATTTTTGGAATAATTAAGTAGTAAATTAACAAAAATAACTTTACAAGCTCTAAATTTAAAGGTAAAGAGAGTAGTATACAATGAGGCAAAGAACACATTTTTATTTCTGACATTGAGCATTGTTATATGCTGTAAGTTTAAGATTACAAAGAGGAGAGGGAACAACTCAAGAAAAACATAAATTTATTTTACTGGTAGGATAAATGGGAGGTAGTTTAGTATTAAAATCTAATAAGTATCTATTAGATCGTTCATAAAAAGGTACAGGACCCCTATGTCTTTTTTGATAGACTTCCTGGAACCTGTTAGCAACAGCATGTTGAAGAGCTGATCTTATATTTTGACACATACGACAAAGTTAAGTATTTTCTTCCTAAGTTTAAGGATGGCTCTCCAGCTTCACAGAGTAGACTGTCCACAGGACTGATGCAATATGCTCCTAGAGCAAGTCTAACGTCTGAACTCTGAAGAGTATCCAAAGTTTTAAGCAATGTTTGATTTGCGGTGTTATGCACAACACATTTGTAGTCCAGTTTTGATCTAATTAAAGCTCTATATAAATTTATTAGAGTTTATTAGTCTTAGCGAGTGTATATGACTTGTCCAACTTAATTTTGAGTTCAGTTGAATCCCTAGGAATTTTATTTCTTTTGTATATTCTATATACGTTTGTATTGCATTCGGATGTAAATATCTGATTTTCTTTTATTAAGTACTTTATAGATTGCTGTGTAATTTTTTCCAGATATACTTCCAAGCATGTTCCAGATTCGACTAATTGGAGTAGATTTATTGATTTCTGAAGCAAACTTTGGCCATGACTTGTACTTGCTTTTTTTAATAATAAATTTTCATTTAGCTTTTATTCTTTTAAATTTTAAACGATTTTCAGTAGTTTTATATCGTTTATATCTATTAAAAGCCGATTTAGATTCCCTTATTGCCTGTTTGCACGCATCGTTCCACCATGGTACAGGTGAATGTTTTGAATGAGAAGCTGTTCTTCCAATGGATTTATTTGCTGCATCAATGATGACTTTAATAAAAGAGAATGTTTTCTCGTTAATATCTTGTTCTGAGTCTAACATTTCTTTACGATTCATAGCTGATGAAGAAATTAATGTTGAGAACAGTGTCCAGTTGGCTTTATTAAAGGACCATTTGGTGATGTGTGTATTGTGCTTATGGTACAACAGATTGTTTACTAAGATGGGAAAGTGATCACTTTTATATAGATTAGGTAAAGCGTCCTACGATAAAATATGTTGCAAGTTTGGTTCAAAAATTGACAAATCAATTTATTTTTAAACTTTTTTTGTGTAGTGTGTCAAAAACCTGAAGCATTTAAAGGTGAAAAATTTCAAATATGCACAAATCTTAGATTTATATGCGCGACAAATTATTTTGAATATGTTTAAATTGTTTCTACAACCAGTACAGCGCTAGGTGTTAGCGATAGGACAGTCTGGAAAAATCGTCAGGAAGGATTGAATCATAATGGAGACTTACCCAAAATTCTGAAAAACCCATGTAAACGAACCAAGAAGGAAACCAATCAGGAGTTTACCTACGATGAGAATATCAGGAGCCAATTGAGATGACTTGTTCACATAAAATTTTTCTTAAAGAACATACCTCCTACAATCACAGCTATCCTGGATGCCGTTAATTTACACTAACATTTGCTAAATTTTCCAAAAGTACTCTATATCAACTAATGCGAGAGATGGGGTTTGTTTATGAAAAGAGAGCCAAGAAAGCAGTAATGATGAAACGTCCTGACATAATATATTGGAGGCATAATTTTTTTAGAAAAATACAGAATTATCGAAATCAAGGAGACAATATTTTCTATTTGGATGAAAGTTGGGTAAATATCGGACAATAAAGTATGGATGGATTGAACCATAACCGTTTTAAAGATGCATTTTTAAAAGGCTTGACTACTGGTCTAAATGATCCAAAACAAAGAGGTCCGAGATTTGTCTTGTTACATGTTGGATCTGATAGAGGTTTTCTACCAAATTCAGAATATGTATTTTTAGAGCAAAAAAAGATTCAGGCGACTACCATGACGAAATGAACGGCGAGTCTTTCGAAGACTGGTTTAAAAATATACTAATCGCAAACCTTCCAAAAGGAGAAAAAAATGTGGTACTAATGAATAATGCTCCATATAATTCATGCAAACAAAATTTTCCAAGAAGCTCCTGGAACAAACAGCAAATTCAAGAATGGTTACGAGAGAAGGATATATTTTATGAAGAAGATTATTTAAAGTCAGAACTATTGGATGTAGCAAACAGGTATGCAGGTATATACGACAAGTATAACATCGAAACTTTGGCCGAGAAATACGGCGTAGAATTATTACGATTGCCTTCCTATCACTGTGAGCTTAATCCAATAGAGATGGTGTGGAGCCAAGTTAACCATTACGTTGCAGCCCAAAACACTGACTTTAAAAAAGATCGTGTGCAACAACTCATCCATAAAGCGTTTGCCAATGTCTCTGCTGAAGAGTCGCAAAATTATATACAGCATGTCATCAGAATTGAAAAAGAAATGTGGATAGCTGAAAACCTACAAGAAGATATCCTACCGGTGATTATCCCAGCCAACATCGGCAGTTTCAGTGAGGACGATTTTTCCGAAATGGAGTAGAGACCAGACACTGTTATTGTAAGTCTTATCTTTATTTATTAGGTAGAGTTTAGGCTACATAAATTTTTATTCTTTTATTAGCGTAATTTTATTGAGACTGTTAATAGTAATAATTAGTCCAAGTTGGTATACAGATTGAACGAAATAAATTCGGAACATACGAAATGTTATGTATTTTAGCTCAATTCTGCTGTAGGTGGTTGGCCAACAAAAGGTTGTCAAATAATTATATTATAAAAATCCAATACTTCAGCGGGCTGCTGGATTCTAAAATCATAAAAATTGAAAGCTACACATAAATCTACGATTTTATTTTGCTGTCCAACCACTTATAGTCCAGGAAATGAAGCATTTCACCTCGCAATTTTTTCGTCCTGTGTGGATTGACTTGAAATTTTAACAGAAGGTAGGTAATAGCCAAGGATCAAAATTTATAATGAACCAAATTGCGCCAAAGCCTTGGGGGTGATTTCCACCCCATCTTGGGAGTGAAATTTTTTTTACGTTTTAACTACAGGTTTAGATTAAAAAAGTGATTCTAAACAAAAAATGTTTTATACATTTTTTTTATAAAACTGATATTTTTCAAGTTATTCGCGATTGAAAGTAACAACTTTTAGACGAACAAATCGACGTTTTTAATCGATTTTTCGCGAATAACTCGAAAATGGTGCAATTTATCAAAAAAAGTTGTAGAAAACAAATTTGTAGCTTTTAAAAGGACAAATACAATTCATTTTTTAAAATGTTTTTGAGATATAAGAGATAGAGATATAGACCTATCGTAAAAAAAGACTCTAGCTCAAAAATTGAGTGAGTTATGATGAAAATAAGGTCAATACTT